GCGACTGAAAGCTGAGCCCAGTTCCCCGGCGGGCATTTATACCATTTATATAAAAACAGCGTCAGTAAGAAGAGGATGGAAGCGAAGCAGATAAGCAAGATGATGACGAACGTGACCAGCAGGGTGTCTAAGCTCATGGACCTGGCGAGCAGCTTCCTCCGCGGGCGGGCGCCCCGGCGCGCGCTCCCTGCTCCGCGTGAGCGCAGGTCTTCCCGTCCTTTAAGGTCTCGAGGAGAACGCGAGGCTCGTCTTCATGGCTGTTTTTCTAGACCAGCTTCCGCGACGGCTGCTCCGCCGGCCTCAGGGCCGCTGGCTCGCCCGGGCTGCGGCGGGCGGAAGGGAGACCGAGCTGGGACCCGTGCGACCGCTCCGCTCACCGCCCCTCATCCCCAGACTCTCCAAGCCCGCAGGGGAGGAACCGGGGCATCTGGCGCCCGGCGCAGCTCCCCGTTCTTCTCTCGTCAATGACATCACAGAATCAGGGAACCTTGGAGCTGGAGGGACCGGGCGCCGGCCCCACCCCACGCGTCGCCTGGAACCTGGGAGAACCAGGGGCCCCTGCTCCCCGCGGAGAGGGTGGGGTGGAGGCCCCCCGGCGCCGTCTGGGCCGCTCTTCGCACAAGGGTTTCTTCCTACTCCCCAAACACATCCTGCTTACCTTCCGGCTGTTTCCGCAGGCCGCCAGCCCGCCTCCTTGTCGGCTCCCTCTCCGGCCCCAGGCCTGGGTCCTGACGCCCCTCCCCGGGCGCAGCGCCCCCTGCCCGACCCCCGCGTCGGGGCGCCTGCTTCCCGCACGCGCGAGGGACCTGGCAGCCCTGGCGGAGGAACCAGGTGATCAGAGTAAAGACCCCTGACCCGCCCTCACTCCAGGTGAGGGAGGGGTGCCCGTGACCGGGGGAGGGGGACAGAGCTAAGATTTTCTGAGAAAAGGAGGGTGCAGAGGAGTGTGGCGCCCGCTGCCAATCGCATCTGTAAAAGTCAGAAGGGGAGCTGGGGGGCCTTTGGGCTGCAGTGACACTGGCTCCCTTCCAGAAAGGCAGGGGCTGTGGCTTCTTTACCTTTGGATCCTCCACCAAGTCATGAAAATTCCGTAAATGTTGAATAAGAGTGTGTGGGTGAGTGTGTGTGAGCATAAGGAGGATTTGCTGGAGCCTCAGGCCAAGGCCGAGTTTGCACAGTGTGAGCCTCTGAGCCACCGGCAGCCAGCACAGCTCCTGCATGAAGCCAGGGCTCCCGGAGGAAGACTCGGACGCGCTCCGGCCGCACTGAGGTCCTGAGAGGCCAGATCTTCTCATGTCTCACGGACACCTGGATTTTTCTGGGAGATGAGGGTATTTTATATCTATTTACTGGTGGTTAGACAGACTTAGACATATGTAAAGACCCAATCAGTTGTGTACGTATGTTTAGTACACCTGATGCCCTCTACTGTGTGGATATTATACCGAAACAAAAACGGGCAAAAGGGCCCCTTCCCGGACCTGAATTTGAGTGTGTGCGGTGCAGAGTGGTGCTGGGCTGGAGGGCACCGCTGCTGGTTGGTCGTCTCCAGGACTGTTCGCCCGCATGCTCTGAGGCCAGAGGCCTTTAGCAAGGACACAGCGGTGGCTACAAGTAAGGGCTGGGTAAGGCTGTAACTAAGGGCTTTCTTTCACAGAATGTGACTTGGGAATCAATACCTTAAGTTTATACGTATGGAAGTGAAAGCAGGGACCCAGCAGACATCTGTACACCCACGTTCATAGCAGCACTGTTCACAACAGCCAAAAGGTGGAAGCAGCCCAAGCGTCCACCAGGAGGTGAGCAGATAAACAAAATGTGGTAGATTCATACAAAGGGATGTTGTTCAGCCTTAAAAAGAACAAAATTCTGACACGTGCTGCACATAGATGAACCCTGAAGGCATTATGCCAGCCGAAGTAAGGCAGACACAGAAGGCCAGCCACCGTGTGATTCCACTTATGTCAGATTCCTGGAAAAGTCAAATTCATAGACGCAGGAAGCAGAATAGAGGTTACCAGGTGCTGGGGGAGGGAAGATGGTGAGTTAGTGTTCAATAGGTACAGAGTTTCAGTTTAGGAAAACGAAAAAGTTCTGGAGATGGAGAGTGGGGATGGCGCACACAATGTGAATATACTTAATGCCACTAAAGCAGATGCTTAGAAATGGCTAAAGTGGCCCATTTTGTGTTGTACATGTTCCATTACAATTAAAAAAAATTTTGAGGAAAAAAGGAAAGGGATCTTATCTACAAAGTAACCTGGTACATGGCAGGCGCTGGAAAAATAAAATCAGCACAAGGAGATCGTGTTTCAATCTGCATCCATCTGTGGGCGTCCTAGTCCCGCCCCCAGCCCTTCCCCTGCCCCCTCCCCTAAGCCCTCCAGGCTGGTCTTGGACTGCTCTTCCAGGTGCCTTCCTCCTGGCTTCTCTCAGCCGTCACTGCAGCTCAGTGACGCGCCACGTCACCGCCTGCACCCCAAACCCTCGTCCGTCCAGCTCCAGCCGCAGGCGCGCTGGGAAGCCGCAGTCTTCCATATTCTTTGTCATTTCTCTCCTCCTGCCTCACGTATTCCTTGACCTCAGGCTCCCAGAACCCTGCAAATTTCACTCCCTCCTGTTATCAAAACCTCAAAACCTGCTTTCTTCTTTTTTTAATCCTCACTAGAGAATATTTTTTCCATTGCTCTTCAGAGAGAGTGGGAGGGAAGGAGGGGGAGAAGGAGAGAAACGCTGATGTGAGGCAGACACATCAGTAGGTCGCCGCCTGCACTCACCGCACTCGCCACCACCTGGCCGGGACCGAGCCTGCAACCGAAGTAGTCGAACCCGGGACCCTTCAGTCTACAGGCTGATGCTCTATCCACTGAGCCAAACCAGCCAGGGCTCAAAACCTGTTTTCTAATCCTTCACTCTAAGAGTTCTTGATAGAAATTTAAAGTGTTTCCACTCAAGGACATTTGTACTTTAACAAGGGCTTAAAGCGAAAGCAAGACAGTCAGGCCTCAGCCAGCAGACAGCGAGTTCTCTTTGGAGCCAGGAGGGTTTTTCGGGTGCTCCTGGCATCTGCCACAGTGAAGTCAGACGCAGACTCCTCCCGGGGCGAGCAGTCCTGCCCCGCCTCCCCCCTCCTGCCTTCCGGGTCCTTTGGGGTAGTGGCCAGAGGACATGCACTCCTGGTGACAGGGTCTGCAGCATCTTGTGCTCCAGGTGGGCCCAGGGTGCCTATGAATCCCCAGCCACCTCCCTAAGGCCTGGATCCATGTGGCCTGGGGAGATCCTTTGACAGAAGCATGATCCCTGAGTTACAGGATCAAGGTGAGGACATTCAGAGGACTCAAGGTCATAGCTGCCTCGGTCTGAAAACCAGGGTGAGCACAGGACCCAGTCCCGGCTGATGACAGTTCAGGGGTCAATCTGTGATCGGAATCATCCCAGTTGGACTCAATGTCATGACATTTTCAGAAACTGCCAGCACAGAAGAGAGCAGGGCTGGGGTGTGAACCGGAGGCTGAACTCGCAGCTGTGTGAGCCAGGGCCTCTCTTTTTTGCCTTCAGCTGGTTTGATTGGGGTTTGTGTCTCTTGCCATCTAAGAGTCTTGTTGTGACCGACACTGTCCTGCCTCCTTTCTGAGCCCTCCACCCCTAATGAGAGATTCCTGCGTTCCTCCGGGAGAGCCAGCGAGCCGGCTGGCTTCCCCGCTGGACATTCCCTAGGTTCCCTCCGCCTGCGACGGCAGGGAAAGGAAACGAGGGCCTCTCTTTCACCAGGCTAGCGCAGCCTTTTCCCCGCCACAGCCGGGGGGCTGCCTGGAGGCGGTCTTTTAGATTTTAGAAGCTAAATGGGAGTTACTGAAGCTCTTCAGCATCAAGCTATGATATTTACCAGGGCACTTGTATTGAAAGTCTTTTTCTTCTACATTAATGGCCAAAACCTGTCTGTTTTTATTAGAGGAAAAAAGAAAAAAATATTAAACACCGAGATAAACGCCTACTGTTTCAGTCCATGTAATTTCCACACAAGAGAAAGGTTGTGCTGTTGAAAAGCCTTCCTTATTTATGATCCACAGTTACCCTTTTCATGCAGAAGTCATTTAAAACCTCAGAAAGTCAGGACAGCTTGATGGGGCTTTTGGCAACCCATTCATCGCCCAACCGTTTCCGCGCACCAATGACACTGAGTTATCCACCAGGCAACGCGGCCCGTGGCACTTACCTCAGTAAAAAACAGGCACCCACCCCCAAACGCCACATCTGGGGACAGATAACCCGAAACGCAGACCCCGGTGGGAGGAGAGTTGGAAAGCAGCAAACGCCGCGGGGGGAAGAGCAGCGATCAGACACGGGCCCATCGTGGGGGCCGGCAGCGCCGAAACCCTGCAGCCGCGCGTGCTCGGGGAAGTGTCAGCAGCAGCGCACCGTCACCGCGACAGCGTAACCCCCGTTACACGTGCATCCCGCCCTCGGCCTCGGCCGCCACCGCGCGCCCCGGGCACGTGTAGAGCCGTCTCGTGCTCCCCGGGGGGGG